GAACATGTAGATTACGCAATTATGAACCTAACGCAACTTGAATGGACCAAATTGGAGTTAAAATGAAGATTTTATGGCTAAAACAAGATTAGTGACAAAACTGTAAATAGATGAAACTTGATTTTAGAATTTAAATTAATAAAATCAAATTTTAAACTGACCAGGGGACAACGGGTATGATAAAGAAGTACAGGGGTTCTTTAGGAAAAGTGTAGGGACGATGGGTTCTATACTAGAAAACTTCAGGGACACTTTTGCAAAACAGTCGGGCGAAGGGGTATGGCGAGATAATGGCCGTTGGATCAAGATCGAATGGCCCAAAACAGATCGGGAGGGGATGAAAGATGTCGGCGTGTCGATGGCGAGCTCCGACGGTGGTGCCATGGCTGGAGGCGGGCGGCGCGCATGGAATATGGCCTATGGACCACGGCTGGATGAACCGAAGACACCGAAAGAATGAGAAGAACAAGATGACCTTGACTAGGCGACTTACAGCGGCGTGGAGTGGATGGAAGCGGCACGCGGCTTCGGCGGATTGATATCGGTGGCGGCTAGGGCTAGCGATGGCGCTGCGAGCTCGGGACGAGGGAGGCGTCTTCGAAGCTTGGGATGGGAGCGGCATGATGCGGGCATCCGGTATTTATGGCCGAGAGCAGCTTATGGCGCAAAGCAAGGATGAGATGTGGCGGCTGTGGGCTTCCGGTGGTGGCGGAGTCCGACGCGAAATGAGCTAGAGGTGGGGGAAGACGACTGATAGGTGAGGCCCGGCTGACAGTGAGACACTGTGGAAGAGAGAAGGCGCGGGCGACGCGGCTCGACTGGGCCGGCCTGCTGGGCCGCTGCGTAGAGAGAGAGAGAGAGAGAGAGAGAGAGAGAGAGAGAGCAGGCCGCGCGGATGAAGAACTTGGCCGCAAGAGGGAAAGAGCAGAGCCGGGCTTGTGAGAAAACAGGGCCTGCGGGCCAAAATTCCGAGAGAGGGAGAGAGCAAAAATTCCTTTCTTCTTTTTTTTTAAATTCATTTTCAAATCCAAATCAAAGTCAAATTCTTTTGCAACTTTTGATCAAACTCAAGCATCACAAATAAAATTTGCAGCAGTATGTATGCACATACATGTATGTAGACCTATATTTGATTTTAATTTTAACAAAGTTATTATTTTCCTAAATTTAAATGCTCACAAAACGCATAATTAAATCATTTGCTCCTATTTTAAAATGATGTAAATTTTAGGGTGTTACAATATAAATATAAATTGATTGAATAAATGGTATTTCTAATTACTATATATTTGTTGATAACTATATTATTTTCATGAGTTATCCTTGTCTATGTTATATACACAAATACTTTAATCTAATTCCAAATTATTGATAAAGAAAATGGCAATTTATTTTGTACCATTTTTATTTGAATTTCTTCACTTGACCTATTTATTTATTAAATATTATGCATAAACGTGTATACCAAGGCAGCTAGCAAAATTACCAAAATACCCTCATGTACAGTTAATTAACCTATGCAGGAATATTTTGGAAGCAGGAATGTGTGGAGGATAGGGCACCAGGTCGTCCGATATGGCAGCTTTTGATGTAGGATTGTATTTTTTGGGACAAAATTTGAATCGTATGATTGTATTTTTTTTCTAGACGGAGGGAGTAGGAATATGAGGCTGGGAGTTGGACCGTACTACAACTGGATCATTTAGACGGACACGTGATGCATCGCGAGTAGATGGAAATAGATGTCTGAAAATCTGAGTTATCAGAATCCGTATCCCTTAAAACTTGTAATATGAATATCCGTATTCGTATTCGTTTCTAATATGTATACTAAATAGATTTATTTGAATTTGTTTTTCAGTATTTCTCTCTATCCGGTTCTAGATTCGTATTCGACAAAATTATGGAATATCCGATTTGTATTAGTATCCGAGAAGAACAAGGTATAATGAATGTATTTAAAAGTTTTTCTCTCATGACTAATGACTAATTATTTAATTTAAATATTATTAATGATGCATTAAAACTATTTAATAGTATATCTATAAAAAAATTAATATTAACTTAATACTATTAATGTACATAAATATTAAATTAATTTTAGTATTTTCTAATTTAGTTTAAACATAATATATTTTTGTTGCAAATTATTTTGATATTTTAAAATTTTTTTGCTAATGTAAATTATATTATATAATTTGTATTGCATGAATATTATATGTATAATGATTGAATAATTGATATATTTAATTACTAAATATTTAATAATAGTTATATTATTTTATGAGCTATTCTTATCTATGTTATATACATACATACTTTATTCTCTACATGTCTAATAATTTTGTAATTACAAAAAAAATGATTGAGCAAAATGACTACTTGTTCCCTACCATTCTTATTTAAATTTCTTCATTTGATCTATTATTTATTAAATATAATCAATTATAATTTAGTTTATTTTGATACCGAAGATTATTAGAAGTGTACTTTGATTTTTTTCACTTTGGTTATCGATGAACTTAGTAATAAAATTTTATTTATCTATGTGGAATTTAACAATATATGCTTTGGGTTGAATTGAGTAAATATCTTAATAGAAATATGAATCCAAGACATTCGTTTTGTATTTGTATTCAAAAAGATTTGTATTTGTATTCGAATCCGAATTAAAAATATGATAAAAGAACCGGATCCGATACCATACCAACCCTAGCAAGTCAGCAACTGCACGGTACACCAATATTTTTTCGCATTCACACGACACATGAGGTCAGATAGCCGGTATCTCCGAAGAGACCGGTCTCACCAAGTTAGACTTGATGGCACGCTAAGACCGCCTCTATATCCGAGATGACGAAGACCGCTAGACACGGTAGCACTCTGCCTCTCCATCCCTCGTCTGCACAACTACCGTCACCACTCAGTACTACAAATTTGGGCCGCCCTCACCCACGCCGGCGCCGACCCTGATTGCCGATTCGCTTTCCGTCCCTCGCCTCCAACTCCAAGATGATGAAGAACAGGAAGAAGCGCAAGGTCACCTCCACGGCATCGTCGCCACTGCCCACCACCATTGCCTCCCTTCCCGACGATGTAGTGGCCATCCTGACGATTTTTTTATTTTTAACACTGACAAGCTGGCGGCCCTCCTCCCCCCACATTGCCGCGCATTAACACACGGTGACGCACGGTCAGCAACGTGGCCAAGATGTGATTTGGATCGATGACAGCGGCCGCGCCGATCGCGCAGACAAGCCGAAGGCCCACTCAGCTGAGTGTAGTGGCGGGGGCGAGCCTCATTATGATCTATCCATGTGTCCGGTCCGCCGCCATGCCACCCGGTTTAGACTTTCGAGGCCAATGGGATAGGACTATGGAACGGAGCCACGGAGGGAGTTGTCGCTCGGCTCAGTAGGGAGTATGGGAGTAGAGTATGTATTGCGTGAGTACGTCCACGCGCTGCGCCTCGACATACTGCTAGATACCTTGGCGTAGGGAGAGATTTCTGGCCAGCGCCAGCCAGTGACGCGGCAACGAGACGCTAAGCTTCCGCTAGGTAGGGTGATGGCGGCGTCTTTTGCTCGCGATCGGCATGTGTGCGGCATTGACACACGGTCACGATCGTGGAGTGGTCGTCGTCGTCGCCACCACCTCGTCGTGCTGGAGGAGGTGGGGCTGCATTGCATGGGGCGCCGGAGCGCGGCGAGCCAAAGATTCGGTCTCGTGTTTTTCAGGCGTGGCCTCGCGACGAGTGGCGGCTCCCCTCCCCCACGCCTACATTAACACACGGTCAAGCGGTGTGATTTGACTCTGGGGGCCTCATTATGATCCATCCATGTGTCCGGTCCGTATGCGGTTTAGACTTTCGAGGCCAAAGACCTACTGTACTGTAGGAGTATGGGAGTAGAGTACGTATTGCGTGAGTACTCCGTACACGCCTCGACCTGCTAGTTACCCTATACGCTAGTACAGCAGATTGGCACGAGGTAGTACGTACGCGTGTGTGTACATTGACACACGGTCACGATCGACGACGTACTGCTAGGACGCAGCCGCGTCAGCCACGACTGAACAGGGAGGTGGCCTCGGTCCGGCGGTCTCCGGCGGCGTGTAGCGGTCCATACCAGGACCGACACGTATTGTACGCCGGGCTCGTCTCCGTGCCCGCTGTCACTTCCGCGTCGTGCGCCGCTGGCACTAGCTTGCCTCGTCTCTCCCCTGCGCCAAGGTTGCCACCACCGTACGTCCTGGTGGTACGCGTGTGGCGTGGTAGACGTTGGCCTCCGGAGCTGCGCGCGTCACGTCGGCCTGCGGAAGGAATGGATGGATCTGGCAGGGCAGATCCACATCCACCCACGCCTGAGCTGAGCCTGACGACCCCTCCGTGGCTCCATCCCATAGTCCTATCCCATCCACCATCGCGAGGGGGTGTGGCGGTGGCGTGGCGCGTCGCGTCGCGCTTAGCAGCACGCGTAGGCACGCCGTACGCGCGCGCACTACTCTCTCCCCATCTGCCGCTACGCCTAGTTGAGTGCGGGCTTGGCCTGGCCTTGCCGCGCCATGCTTCGTGGAGCGTAAGTGCCACGCTCAAATCCGCGACGCGGCAGCCCCGGCCACGTCAGCGTTCAGCGGCCCTGGACGCTGCCACGTCACCGCTCCTACTGCGCCCATGCATGGCGCGACAACGTGATTTTGCCGCGCCATGCGAATAGGCGCGGTCAAAAGCGTTAGTTTAAAAAAATAAACAGTGTCATATTTAAAAATAGTTTTAAAAAAATGTTAAAAAAAATCTCCGCCGCCGCCATCTGCCGCGCCGTCTTCGCCTCCGAGCAGTGGATCCGCGTCGCCTCCTGCTCGACGTTCCTCCGCCGCCTCCACGACATCCACAACTACCCACTCCTGCTCGCCCACTTCGTGTCCCCCTACGGCCACGGCGTCACCCCGCCTCACTTCTACCCCGCGCCCCTGCACTCGGAGGCGGACGGCCCCTCGCTGCTATGGTCCCCCGCGGCGACTTCTTCTTGACCCGCATCCAGGTCCAAGGTCCTGGCCAGCACGTCCTCGAGGACTGCCGCCGCGGCCTCCTCCTCTTCTCCGACACGAAAACGCTCAGGGTCTTCAATCCAATGACTCACCGCGTGTCTTCTGTTGGCCAGCTGCCAAGACGCAGAGGCAGAGACGCGGACCACCGCGGCCGCACCCTGTGTTTGCTTCCGGACGGCGACGATCCTGATGCGTTCCGTGTGATGTCGATGCAGCACAGGAACGGCCACAAGCTGGCTCGATTGGAGGTGTATGTAAGCAGGAGGATGGGGATAGCAGAATAGCAAGCAACAGATAGTAGATTGGAAGCAGAACAAGCACGAATCGGGGAATTGGGACGAGTTCATAGCTAGCTTGGATTAAGAACAGAGGAGTACTTGTGTTACAGAGTTGTTTATGTAATTGATATCCCTTCTCTGTCTTCCTCTCCTCCTACGTATACCAGATGGCTACGGCTCTCATGCCAGCTGGTGTGGTCACTCCCACTGCAGCCCATGGACGCGCGTACTGGGCTTGCGGTCTCGTTCTCCTCGACGCGGCCCACGATCAGCTTCAATGTCGTCGTGGTGGATCAGTTGGCCAGCGTCGCCCACTCCTTCGTCCTGGCTCGCTGATGCAGACGTATGGTTGCTGACAGGAGCTGGAACAGCCAAGATACCAGCCAGGAGCCACATGGCCAAGATTTACCGCGGACAGTATTCACTTGCGATGCACGCGGGCGACCGAATCATTTGAAAGTACGACGTTGCAGATTCGCTTCTCTCTCTAGACGCCAAGACGATGACATTCTCCGACGTGCTTCTCCCTCCTGGCGTGACCCATCAGTCAGCTTACTCCGTCGGCGAGACAGAGGATGGCACCTGCTGCCTAGTTCATGTCTTCCAAGACGGTGGCTGGCTCATGCAAGTGTGGCGTTTCAAATTAGGAGATGATCATGACAGCAATGGGGCTCAGATGTGGGAGTTGGAGCGACAAGTGCCACTAACCTTAGGCGGCGACAGTGTGGATCAGGTCCGTGCAATTGTTGGTGGCATTGTGCTGCTCTGCTTCAATAGCTCGTCATCTTATCAACATCACATTGCGTTTCGGCTCAAGAGCTTGAAGGTGGAAGCAGATTTTATGTGCCGTGGACTGGCACGCCCCTTTGTGATCGAGTAATGGCATGGCCTCTTGCAGGTGCAAATCCTTGTTGCCTCTCAAAGTGTCTTACCATGCATAGTATAATCTCAGTTATTATGTGCTATCATGTTTTGACTAATCTCCTCAGATTGATTGCATTCTTGTTTTGTCCTCTCTTTCTTAACATAAATTAAAGTTATGGAGGAAACATTAGACACTAGAACCATTCGTCCACCATCAGCTTCAAGCATACTTGGTCTGCTGATATAGAGTCTAGTTTGTGTATTTGCTTGAAGGGATAAGGCAATAGGAGCATTTATGTAGAGAGTAAATCGGAGGATACAAAAGTCATGCATGTTTACATTTCTTTCAGCAATCCAATGGTTACTTTTCACAACTGCAACAAATGATAGTTAGATGTAAGTTCAACCTAGGATGTTACACTTTGTTGGGAATCCCTGGTATACTTGTTTGAAAATATCTGCATACCATGTAGCTAACAATCTTATGCAAGGAGAAATTTAGCGAATCACCAAATAATTTTTTGTTGACCAAAGAATAATTGACTAGGATTAAGCATTGCTAACTATTTACCCTTGGCTACAAGTTATCTATGTCTATTGGATCCTCAACCAAATCCTCTTTTAAGACATAAGATGTTTGGGAAAATCTATTTGACCTCCTTAACTGTTGGTGCTCTTATACTTCACCCCCTCACCTTAAACCTGGTATTTTATCCTTTAAAGTATTAAAAACTATATAGATAACCCTCTGGGGTGGTTTTGATGGGTTTTTGCTGACGTGGCCAATTACATGCATGATGATATAAATGTGAGTGAAGAAGGGTGGGCCTGGTGCAAGTAGTAGAGTATTACCGACTGTGACCGGAAGGTCCTGAGTTCGAGCGTAGCCTCCTTGCATTCGCACATCGCAAGGGTAAGGATTGCCGTTGATACCCTTTCCCAGATCCCGCACAATGCGGGATGCTCTCAGCACTGGGTACGCCCATATGATATAACTGTGAGTCAACAAACAATAGTAAAAAAAGGCATATATAACCACCTAACATATGGAGGGTTAACTATGTAACCCTCAACTATAAAAACAAAATTATAGCCACTAAAGTATCTAATACCTTTCAAATGATCCTTGAGATAGTTTTGGCGGGCATATTTTTGCCTAACTGTTTTACCATTATACCCCGCCACATTGGCTTGATAACCATTGCTTGCACATAGGATGGGTACATTATTTTTTTCTTTTATCATCTTTTATCCCTCATACTCAATGCCCCCCTCCGCTTCACTCTCCCTTCTCTCTTTCCAACTTGTTGTACCTCCTAGCACTCCTTGATGACATGGAGCTTAGGCACCGCGTAATCACCACCATCCCCCCGCTACCCTTGCTTTCTCCTCCTATGGCTATCTAATTTGTGAGTTTCCCTTTCCTCTTGGCCCATAGCCACATTAACAAGCTACCAGGCCTGCCCATCTTACACATGGGATTGCGTGTGCGAAACATCCCTGTAGAACCATGCTAGGTCATTTGAACCTTATTTGCTCTCCTTTAAAAGCTACAATATTGGGTTTTACAGTCGAGGGTTATGTAGTCAAACTCTAGTATGTAGGGGGATATGTAAATCTTTTCCTATTGTTCTGACTTACTACAATCTGGTTTTGTAAGTAAGAGGGTGAAGTAGATGATTTACTATAGTTAGAGGGTTCAGTAGAATTTTCCTAACTAGTTTGGAATACCAAAATTCAAGTGTAAAAGTGAACTATGCATCACATAGATTATAATTCAAAAAATTGGCTCAAAGGGGATAGACCTCGCTGTGGCATTGCATTAAGAAGAAATTCTCAAATTGGAGCGTGGAGAAAAGCTCCCTAAAATCGGCAGCCTAGGACGCATCTTGGCAAAAGTTCTTTTTTTTAGCCCCAGGTGGTTGGCACTACAGTTGAGTGCACAACCACCATGAATTATCTAGGTATGTGTCAATTTATTTAAGTATGACACTGAAAGAAATTTCCCAGTCTCATTGTATCCCAGTGTGTCTCATGTGCCATAACTTCAGTGACATATAAAGAGCTACCGAAAAGTTTCAGTGGCACAGGAACAATTTATCATGACCCTGAGTCTCTGAGCTCTTAAAGGGGTGATTATGTAATGTCTGTTCACTAAAGTAGTTTAGAGCATCCTAAGGTGCCCTTTGGATAGGACTAAGATTTATGGAACCTAGTATTCTATACTAAGTTCTATTGGATTTTGAGACTAAAAATCTGTGTGTTAAAAATGTTCCAAAATCTGCTTGGGATTATGGGATTTTGATCAAATAGAGCTAATGTTAAAAAAGTTGTAGATAAACTTCTGTATCATTGATGTTGTCACCCTCTATTTTCACCAATTGTTTGACTTGAAAGTTTTCTTGACAAATGTTTTTTTTTGAGAAAACAGGAGGGGTTTACCCCTACTGATTATATATAGTGATGGGACATGGGAGACTTATCTTGCTCTAGGCTTCAACACTGTTAGGTGAAGAACAACTCCAAAAACTCTCTATATGCTTCCTAATTTATAGGAATAGAGATTTTAGTAAAAGAATACCCTCTCACAGCTCTTTAATTGGAGCAAACATAGATCTTTTCTATTCCGGATTTTCGCTAGCCAAAGATGGAAAGCGAGGATGGCTCTCTAGAGTACACAAAAGATATTGGAAAGCTGTTGGAGGGTACAAAGATATAGAAAATGATTTTTATTTAAATGACTCTCCACATGATGATTTAGAGAGTAAATTTTAGAAATACTCTTGGAGATGCTTAGGCTATCATATTTCATCAGATTTTGTATACAAATCATGTTGATGTTTGATTTGTTCATAAAATCTTATATACAAATCATGTTGATGTTTGATTTCTCTGGTCATGATTTGTGACATATTGTATAACTCTTGGAACTTATTGCATCATGTCAGTGAAGTAACTTTTTTTGCTGCTTCTACATGCTGACCGTTTAGCATTCTCTTCTTTAAACGTAGGCTGTTTTAGAACTTCAAAAACTTGTATATGCGTCTCTCCCAATACATAATAAAGGAAGGTTATTAAGGACGTTTGATCTACTTTATTAATCCTTGTGCTTAAGTGTACCTAAGGCTTATTTATCTTTAATAAACTCAGTATACAACACAAAGTTAGTACTTCTGAAATAGAAAGCAATGGTTTCATGTTTTAACAATTGCTGATAATTCTAGTCTTGCATGTTTTTTTTTTAATTTGCAGGTGGTAAATCAAGCTGCTGAACTTGTAATGGGAGTGTGGGACCCTTGGAAATCATGAGGATTTTGCTTGCACATTTTGGGCCTTTTGTTCTCAGCACGTAACGCTACTTAAAAGAATATTTTAGAAGACATTCTCTGTAACTTTAAAGAGGCGGCCATCTATAGTCTATAGACGGCAGACTCTACTAATCATTTACAGAGGCGTGTGTCTAAAGTGGCTTCCTATGGGCAAACTTGAGGCCGCGCCTTAAAAATATTAGATCTGGAAATCAATTAACACATTTGGCACTCTTAGGTCAAGTTCGTTTCATCCCCAATCCATATGGATTGAAAAGAGCTATCTGCAAGTTAAAATCCCTCTCAGTCCCCTCCAATCCATTTGGATTGGGGACAAATGAACAGGCCATTAAGGGGGCCACCTCTATAAAAAGTTGTTTAAAATATAATTTATAACTAAAGTTGGATGAAAACAAATTTTATACTAAAATTATAGAGCTCAAGGGATCTACAGTTATGTAGATGATACGTTTTTTATTTGAACTATTTAGTGTTTCAAAAATTCATTTCAAGTTTCTAGATTTTGAAATTTAAAATTTAGAACCGTGAAACAACATTGGATGCTGGCATGATCTATACCGAAATTGTACTTCACAATGTGAACTGCAATTCGTAGTTGACAAGTTTATGGTTTGAAGCTATTCGATCCCAAATATGGCTTTGGAGTTCTCAGATTTTGAAATTTTGAAATTTAGAATTTTCAAAAATTGAATTTTAGAGTTTTCAAATAACCTCGGAAGTTGTTATGGCTAGTACCAAAGTTTCGGTCGATGCTATGCACGACTTTGTAGTTGACAAGTTTGTTTATCGAAGTCATTTAGAGTCTTAAGTGCTCAAATGCAATTTAAGTTCTTCAGTTTTTGAGATTTAATTTTTAAACAATCTCTAACGAAGACATGCCCTATATTCAAAGCTATTTTTACTTTGATTCAAAACCAAAGGGAAACAAATATTTCTTGTGAAGAATTAAAGTCCGAGGTTTGAAAAGTCTTGATTTGCGGCATTTTTTTAGAAAAAAAAATGTTTTTATCTTTACCAAACGAATATCTCGAAGAAGACAGCAGTTCGTCCCCACCAGCTCCGGCGATCTATTCCTCTGCGGAACACGCCTGTGTTCCATACTTCCATGGATGAGAGCCCGTTTCTATCGTCCTCGCGCCGTTTTCACCATTCACTGCAATTGCGCCGGACTGGGCCGACGCTGCGCCCCCGTTTCAGGGTCGTTTCCTACCTTCCATCGGATGCGACGGGATAGGGTGACGAACTGATGGTGGTGGATGGTTACATTTCATGGCCCAATAGCGATCACTAGAAATTTTCTTTATTGCTAAATTAATAATTAAAAAGAGGAAGAAAACGAGATAAAGAAGGTTGACAGCAATGGATTTGTCTCGGGACGGCGAGCATGTTTCTAGCTTTGGAATAACATGATTTTGACTCTGCCGTCTCTGATTCTCTTGTGTGATCCAAATAAGATCGCCCCTCGAGTCGAGTGGGTGGGCGGCTACGACTACGAGAATATAACCCGAGTGAAGTTAAATAAAAGCCGTTAGCGAATGTTATTATTTCGTGTGTATGGGAAAGATTATGCGAGTAGGATGCCGGATGTAGGCATCTAGCGTGTCATCTACATACACGTCATAATGTGAGGTTATGAGCCCCCACCCAATACGTTATACAGTAGGGGAAAAGCAACGTACTCCACCTCTTAATGCGTCAATTTAAAGTTCTATAAAATTCTTTATCCACATTGGCCATGTTTGCTTGTTTTATAATTCGTCTTTTTCAGCTTGTTTTTTATCGAAATAATATTTTTCTCTCCCAACAAATCAGTCGGAACAGTGTTTCGGTTTGTTTTTTCAGCAAACGAATGGGACCATTGTGCGTGCGTAACTTTGATTATTTTGCGTCGGCTTGTAGTTCTTCTACTGCAACAAATGAAGAAGAAAAGCTGTATGCGCTTCAGTAACGACCTGTAGCAGCTAACGACGAGTGGAGAGCATGTGTTTTCTTATAGGAAAAACCAGCATCTTTCCATGATTCTTGCACATTGCCCGCTCCCCAGCACATGCTAAGTACTACTTTTGAATATAAACAGAGCAACATAGCTTAACTTAAAATTGATGACGTGAACTGCAAAAAAAAAATGGACGTCGTTTTGGACGAAAGGAAGAGCAGCAAGCATCCAAAGGAAACCAGCCAGACCTACGGGCTTCCCAGGAGCCTCTGTGGGCCCTCCGCGACTTCCTCACCTATCGGCCCCACCTGTCAATCAGTCCCAAAGCCACGGGATTAAAAATCATAAATTCTAGTACTACGAAAAAAAACAGCAGCTAAAAATAATAAAAATAGAAACGAACTGCCCCTCCCCTCCTCGCCTTTTCTCTCTCCTCCCCACTCCGGCGCTCCCTCCCTCCCGCTCCTCCTCACCCGACCGCCTGCGATCTTCTCCCGCTCCTCCGGTTGGATTCCTCCGCCGCCGCCGCCCGTCCCCGCACCGCTGCGACACCGGGCTCCTCTCCCGTCCGCACGGCGCGGGGCGACGTCTCGTGCCCTGTGGCGCCCCGCCGCCGCCAAATGCCCGGCGCGCGCAGCGCTGCTGCCCCCCCCGCCCCCGCTGCCTCGCTGCGACACGGGTGCGGGGCAAGACGTAGGATTCTGACACCGGGGATCTTTGCGCGGGGGGAGTTCTCTGCCCCCACCCTCCTCCGTGGACCGTGCCGGTGCCTGTTTTAGGAGGCGGTCTCGCGCGCGCCTCCCGCTCCATCGATCCTGATCGCGCTCCCGTGGATTCCGATGCAATGCGGGCCGCGGGCCGGGGGGTCCTCTTCTGATCGATCTCGGGGGATTCTGAGGTATTGTCCCTGCCCACATTACTGCGTCTATCTTGCCGATCGCCTACAGTCCTACAGAGTGGCCTGCCGTTTGTACCTTTTTACTGATTTATTTGGCCGCATTAGATTAGATTAGATTAGATAGTATATATGGTTGCTGAACTCTGCGAATTTAACAGTGAATCATCAACACTTTATTTCTTTGTTCTTTAGGTGCCAGCCTTATCAATGTTTCCTTTTATGCTTTTGAATTTAGCGAAACTTGCCATGTGGACACTGGACTACATGGGTGCTGAACTCTGCGAATTTAACAGTGAATCATCAACACTTTATTTCTTTGTTCTTTAGGTGTCAGCCTTGTCATTGTTTCTTTTTATGCTTTTGAATTTAGCGAAACTTACCATGTGGACACTGGACTACTTATCCAGTTTTGGTATATTTCATTATTATGTCAGATGGGCCGATGGGGATAGGGCAGTGTATAAATGCATCACGGTTTTGGGATTGTCGACTTGTAATTTTATCATACAAGTCATTCTATTGTTTGTTGAGGAAATTCGTGCTGCAAATGGAACACAATCATTCTTTCTGGAGCGAGAATTCAAAGGAAAATTGTATATTTGTACAGCGTGCATTGAATTTTTCTGCTTCTTTTTGTCAGTTAGTTTGTTGTAACGAGTGCCTTCATGTCTTTCTAGATTTCTGTCGCAGCAAATGAGGATGCAAGTATGAGGGTTTCTTTGAGGTGGTACAATTTCAGCCACCAATGGGGGACCCAAATAAAACATTTGCTGACGTAGTTAAGCTTTTGACATCATGGCTGCCGCGACGCTCCAACACAGAAAATGTCTCCAGGGACTTCTGGATGCCCGATCACAGTTGTCGAGTTTGCTATGACTGTGATACGCAATTCACTATATTCAACCGCAGGCATCATTGCCGTCGCTGTGGGCGAATTTTCTGTGGTAAGTGTACTGCAAACTCCATCCCAGTTTCAAGTGGCCCTGACAGAAATGTCGATGAGGGGGACAGGATACGGGTCTGCAACTTCTGCTTCAAGCAATGGGAGCAAGAAAGAGTCACTTCCCTCAAACAGGTACAGCCGGTGCTCAGCCCTTCCCTGTCCGAGGCGAGTTTGTTCAGCACCAAGTCAGCTATCACCATCAATAGTGTTACCACAACGGCTGGCTCTTACTCTACTGGAAATTATCAGCATTTGGGCTGTGTTACCAGCATTAGTCCTCCAAAGTGTTGCCATGACAAGACCTCCCATAATATGCAAGACGCTCATGCTCCTGAGAAATGTCTATCCACTGTTTCAAACAAAGATGACTCTTCAGTTCAGTTTGGCTACTACACAAACAGGTATTCTGTTTGAAACCTCATATGGTATAATGTATTAATGTTACCCAGTTAAAGTACAATATATCATGATCTGCTTTTGATCATTTTTTTCCTTCAGTAAACGAATAGCATTGTTATTATACTGAGATGTATTGATTTAACCTTTACTTTTTCGTGCTGACAAATTCAAAATGCTTGGCTAATGCTTACCTCGTCATGTAACATTTTAAATCAGGAGTGATGATGAAGATGAAGAATACCCTGCTTACTGCTCTGATAGGCAGGCACAACATCAACAACAGAATGGACAATATTATGGCCCAGATGAGTTTTATGAGCTTGATGCACCCACACCCTACAATTCAAAAATGTCGCAGACAGTTGAAGAATCTGTGACCTCTAAAGAACTATCCCCGCATGTGCTTGATCAAGGATTTCCTAGCACACTGACCGTTACAAAATCAGACAATGAACCAGAACCAGATAATAGTTCTGAATGTGGTGCTGCTTCATCCATTTATGCTTTAGAAAGTAATGATACAAACCCAGTTGATTTTGAAAAGGATGAACTTTTCTGGCTTCCTCCTGAACCAGAAGATGAAGAAGATGAGATGCAAACTGACTTGTTTGATGATGATGACGACGACGACGAATCTGTAGCTGATGGTGAACGGTGTCGAATTCGATCGTCAAGTAGTTTTGGCAGTGGAGAGTTCCGAAGTAGAGATCGGTCGGGCGAAGAACATAAGAAAGTAATGAAGAATGTCGTTGATGGACATTTCAGGGCTTTGATTTCTCAGCTACTAGAGGTGGAGAATATTTCGTTACATGAAGGTGATGACATGGGCTGGTTGGAGATTGTTACTTCTGTATCATGGGAAGCTGCCAACTTCCTCAGGCCAGACACAAGCCAGGGTGGTGGCATGGATCCTGGTGGATATGTCAAGGTTAAGTGTTTAGCATGTGGGCACCGCAGTGAAAGGTGAATGTTTTTTTTCATACCATGTACTCAGCTATCTATAAGCCTACAAATGCAAAGCTCACTGATACATCTTAAATACATTAGTAGACATAGAATCGAGCTTGTCCAGCAGTAATCAGATCGTAACAAATTACATAATAGCTTGAATAAAGAGATGAAGCTCATGAAAATAACGTATTCATCTTGACAAATACCTTATGAAGGTAGATTTTGTCCAGCAAACATTGTGGCATGATGTCCCTATGGCATGCACCTACTCTATCACTTCCAAATATAAAAAAGGGCGTACCCAGTGCAGAGAGCTCCCGCTCTGTGCGGGGTCTGGGGAAGGGTGTTAGTGGCAAGCCTTACCCTCGCCTGTGCAATGCGAGGAGACCGCGACTCGAACCCGGGACCTTCCGGTCACAGGCGGTAAGACTCTACCGCTTGCACCAGGCCCGCCCTTCCACTTCCAAATATAAAGCAAAACATTTATAGCTTGGTAATCATAGTTGGTTTCATTGAGCAGGTATTTTCTAACACGTTAAATGACCAACTGTGTAGTATTGTTTATTACAGAATGTATACTTGGTTGGTTCTGAATGCCTCAGGCTGTCAGGCATGTGTCAAGTTGAGCAAAACCCATGAGACCACTAGTATTCATCTTACTTATTTTCTCAAGTTGCCATGAGAAAACTTGTTGGTCCCAGTGTGGGTAAAGAAGCTATGTGGCCATGAGAGAGATGCTTTGGACTAGTCTGCTGCCTGCTGCAGTGCTTCTCCATAGGATAGATTTGGAATTTCTCAGCTCCTATATCCTGAGGATTATTGGCCCAAAGTAATATATATTCCCCATGAGTCTTTAACTACCTTTATCTGGTGCTTTAACTTCTACCGACAACCTAACCTGTATCTGCCCCTGCATGAAGCCTGTACTTTAAATGCTTTCTCCACTTAAGGGTTTACACGCAACTAACACAAATCCTGTTCAAACATTTTAACCATCAAGTAGCTTAATGTTGTTTGCAGTTTGCTTCCATCTAATTGTTCAACAGCTAAAATGTCTTTCTTGTTTGTTTCATACTGCACTGGGCCTTAAAACTCTTTTATGCATTCTTATCTGATACTATGTCTTATTTCCTTCAGCACTGTTGTAAAAGGAGTAGTTTGTAAGAAGAATGTCGCACATAGGCGCATGACAACTAGAATAGAGAAGCCCCGTCTCCTACTACTTGCAGGAGCTCTTGAGTACCATCGAGTCACAAATCAGCTGTCAAGTATTGATACATTGCTCCAGCAGGTCCGTGAACTTTTGTGTTTCTGGTACGTGATCTTAGATTTCCTTGATCTTATGTATATGTTTCCCCTTGTATACAGGAAACAGATCACCTTAAAATGGCAGTCGCAAAGATTGTAGCTCAAAAACCCAACTTGCTTTTGGTTGAGAATTCAGTTTCGCGATATGCTCAAGATTTGCTTCTAGAAAAGAACATATCATTGGTTTTAAATATCAAGCAGGCCCTCCTGCAGCGTATTGCTCGTTGCACAGGTGCTCAGATAGTTCCTTCTATTGATCTCCTACCATCTCAGAAGCTTGGTTACTGTGAGTTATTTCATGTAGATAAATACGATGAACAGTCTGTTAGCTCGGGTAATGTGTCAAAGAAAATGGTGAAGACCATGATGTTCTTTGAAGGATGCCCAAAACCATTGGGTTGCACTGTAAGTCATACACTACTTTGCTCTTTTTTTCTTGTGGGATAGATGGACACCAAATAACGCCACATTGGTGAACTTAGTAACATACTTGTCTCCTTGTTTTCATACTCTTTCAAACCAAAAGAAGTGCCAAAGTGAATGAAACTTGCCTGTCAAAAGGGCTAGTACCCTTTATTTTAGCGAGCTAAAGTACCTTTACAATTCCTGCCGTCCTCCAGTCTGTCTGCATCAACCAATGAAATGTATATGCTCTGTACTTCTCCACAACTTTATTTTCTTGGCCTATATTATCTGCAGGTTCTGCTAAAGGGTGGTAGCATGGATGAGCTCAAGAAAATTAAGCATGTGGTCCAGTATGGCATTTTTGCAGCATATCACTTGGCGTTGGAAACATCTTTCCTTGCAGATGAAGGTGCAACCCTACCAGAACTTCCATTGAAGTCTCCATTGACTGTAGCCTTGCCAGACAAACGATCTACTGCAGACAGCTCCATTTCAGCAGTGCCAGGCTTCACAATTAATGTTTCAAATAGCCAGCAAACTGATAGTTTTGACCACCTTGGTACCAACTACATCATGTCAACTCAACCAGGTGAAAATGCTGTGGTTGAAGCACCAGTATCCAGTGAATCCTTTACTTCTCAGAATACCTACTCTCATTCTCTTGGACATTGGTGTGCTAATAACAGCAATTTCAACAACGGGACTGGTGATGGAGATGGATTAGTTAAGGTCACTGCAACTTCAACTTCTGTTTCCATATCTTCTACGTCTACATCTGGTGCACTCACAAACCATACTCCTAGATATTCTAGTGTAGACAAAAAGAGTATGCATTTTGGTGATTATCATGATGGTTCAATGAGATTACATGGTAAGACGGTGACAATGGATTCAACCAGCATATCAAGTTGTTATCACCAGAGCACAGTCAAAGCTAGCACTAATATCAATAGTTCTAATGTCAAGGAGTCATTAGAAGGTTCATATGCTTTGGCTAATGTGAAAACCATCAACAAGAACAATTCTGTGGTAATTCAACCAGTGCTTACTGCTGCTGTACAAAACCAAGAGACCAGTCAAGGAGATGATAGCACATCAAATAAGGATGAAGTTGTGCCTTCTGACCATCAAAGCATCTTAGTCTCATTGTCCACACGTTGTGTATGGAAAGGTACTATTTGTGAGCGTTCCCAGCTGTTACGCATCAAGTATTATGGTAACTTTGACAAGCCTCTTGGAAGGTTTCTGCGGGACTACTTGTTTGATCAGGTCCATCTCCTCCCCTTTTCATTTTTATTTTAGGGGATCCTCCCCTTTGACTTCGTGTCCATTCCTTTTGAAAGAGTTTTATGCTCTTTCCCTTTCTCAATTTGGATAGAATGCCTTTGCAGGGCTATCAGTGTCGTTCCTGTGATAAGCCACCTGAAGCCCATGTCCATTGCTATACTCATCGCCAGGGAAGTCTAACCATATCAGTTAGAAAACTTACCGAATTTGTTTTGTCGGGTGAAAGGGATGGGAAAATTTGGATGTGGCACAGATGTCTGAAATGTCCTTGGAGTAATGGGTTTCCTCCAGCAACTCAAAGGATTGTCATGTCTGATGCTGCCTGGGGTTTGTCACTTGGTAAATTTTTGGAGCTTAGCTTTTCAAACCATGCAGCTGCAAGTAGGGTGGCCAGTTGTGGCCATTCTCTCCACAGGGACTGCCTCCGGTTCTATGGGTGAGCAATATTCAGTTGTTTCATACTTTTACATTTAGACTCAAGAAGGAAAAGGTACACATGAGTGCCCATGAAACCCATATCCTTACCGTTGGTTGTATATTTATATGTGATTTTGAATTTTCAAAAAAGACATGGGTTAATAAGTATTCCATGCATATGAATGGTGCTCGTGCACCCATGTTCTTCAGGTTTCATGTCCATGCTTATTTCTAAGTCACTTATAAAGAATGATCACAATTTACCTAAATATAATGCAATGGGTATCTTGGTTTCTGATCTTTTTTGTTCTTTATACACAGGTTTGGCAAAATGGTTGCTTGCTTCCGATATGCTCCTATTAGGGTTCATTCTGTTTACTTACCACCTCATAAACTTGATTTTGGTCACCAGCCCTTGGATTGGATACAAAAGGAAGCAAACGAGGTGTGTAACTTAAGCAGTTAGTAGTTTTGTTTGCATAAATGCACCTGTATTCATTTTTGCCCAAAATTCAAAAATTCATAATTCAAAAGTTCAGGTATCCGAAGTCGCTTATCCATGCGGCTAAGAAGTTGACATTTTCTTGTGATTTTGCTAGGTTATTGAGCGAGCAAAACATCTCTTTGATGAAGTATTGCATTCTTTACACTTGATATCTGACAAAAAGGTTCAAGGCAGTTCTCTTAACATGGAATTTAGCAATTACATTGCTGATCTTGAAATCATGCTTCGAAAGGAAAAGTCAGAATTCGAGGTATGGTGCATTTCCATACCGCTTTTTTATCACATTACATGATTGATAATCATTAGACAGAGAATGTAACTTGTAATATCAAGTCTTGGAAAAGAAACACCACTAGACAGCCAACTTGTTCGCAACTTCATCTGCAAATAGCCACACTTGCTTGAACTGTACCATGTGCATATACTGTCTTGACAAAATCTGCATCTGTGATGTACTATCAAGGAAAAGGTATTACTGATAAGTGAACACTTGATCTCATATTGTTGTCTGATTCTTGGTGTTTTGGTGTAGAAGCAAATGTAAATATTTCATATCAGGGTAAGGGCTGTCCCAACCCATGATTTCTGTGAGCAGTTTCTAGAGGAGAGATATAGCAATAAATATTCAATAGAAACTAACCCTCCCAACCCATGGTTTCCATAGTAGTTTCTATTAGAGAAAAATTAATAGACCTCATGCAAAACAGGTTGATCAGGTATGTCAAGCAACAAAATAACATCTTACGTTGCATGCACCACAAAAGATTATCCAGAATTCTCACGAGGAACAAAGTAGTTTAACATTAGTTGCCTGACAGAAAATGAAATCATAATTTTACAGGTTATACAAAGTGGTCCTATATTGTAATGATCTTTAGGATACAGTTATATATACTAGTATAGCCCAACAGATGATCTTTTGTTGGTCGCCATATGGAAAAGGGCAGCACATTTTATTCTCTACCTCAACCACCACAGAGCCCCCAAATCTGCTCTGTTCAACAATGCAACCGACATATGCATTCCCTAAAGCAGTTCAGGTCACAAATCCATCCATGCCACGATAACTGTACCCAGATTCCAGACCAATAAAGACCAGCGGAAGCTATTCAGAGGTCTCAAAAAACACCAGAATTTCACCACACTCTGTATTTCATCCATCGACATCGCAACAGGAAATGAAGCCACGAGAGGGGAAGGTGAGGGCAAATAGACTGTTCATACCAACGGTGGTGGAGATGGTGACTGCGATGCTTGGAGTGCAGCAGGGAGGGGTGTGCTCGGAAGACTGTCGCGTGTATGTGGAAGCAGAGCGGAGGGAGGCGTACACGGGAGCAGAGGGGAGCAGGCCAGGCTGCGCACATGTGGGGGCGGAAGGAGAGACAGAGCATGGTGCTGAGCGGAGGAAGGTGCTGCGGCGACGCAGCAGAAGCAACCACAGCAGATCCTGTAGGAGGAAATGACGAGTCCTGTCCCAACGCCAAATCGCCGGTTTCCTTGTGCGTAGGTTTGGGAGCCGACTCAGTTTCTCAACTTCTCTCCTCTTTAAGTCTCCTACATCAGCAAAACATCAGCTAAAGGATAACGTAGCACTCTATTTAATTCTATGGAAACCATCCTATTTTTAGGGTTGGGATTGCCCTAATGGGATTGGGGTATTTGGAGCTATTAATCTGATCTGTTAAGTTTAATGTTAATCATAAAAAAAATTCCCAAAATACTTTTCAATTTATTGTCATGCAGTCAATAGATGCACCCTAATTCACTGTACCTACAGCATATGCATAAACCTTACAATCCATTCCCCTATACTCCTGGATGCGTGCATTGTCAATGTTACATGCTTACATGATTTATTTCCTTTTGTACTATTAGGGATGCCTGAATAAAGTCTTGAGAAGGGATATGCAGAAAGGCCAACCAGACATCCTTGAGATCAATAGGCTGCGAAGGCAGTTACTCTTCCATTCATACTTGTGGGATAAAAGACTGGTATTTGCTGCAAGAACAGATAGATGTCGTCACGAGAAGATCCATTTTATAGATAGTGTTGCTGAGCAAAATGTACTACTAAAGCCTCAAAGTGAATGCAGCGGGAATAGGTCTGCCAACAAAGATGCTAAATATGTTGAGTGCCTTCAGGAAAGCCTTTATGGAGGGAATCACACTGGAGTTGATGCGGGTACTGTCAATTCGAATCATGTCCAGCAAATGGCTACAGGCGAATTGGATTCGCTTCAAAGAGACATCAAAACTTCCCTATACAGCAGTGTCAGTGTAAGTGGTGATTCAATTCCCTTGGAACCAGATCTTGTTGCTCGACGCACCCTTTCAGAAGGTCAGTTTCCTAGTGTATTGGATGTGACTAATGCACTTGAAGTGAAATGGACTGGCAAAGATGATCCTGTTTCTAGCAAGGTAACCATGCCAGAATCTACAGCATCCTCAGATGATTCAGAAGAACATGTGGGTGATATTACACCTTCGTATGCCTCTATATTGCTGAGCAAGCTAGGGGACAGTGCAGCAGACCATTCTAATTGGATAGGAATGCCTTTCTTACTATTTTACCGTTCTCTCAATAAGCAATGGAATCGTTCAAACCGATTTGATGCGCTCAACGAATATGCTCCCGAATATATTTTTTTCTTAAGGGAAGTGGAGCGTCAGATTGGACCTAAATTTCTCTTTCCTGTAGGAATCAGTGACACTGTCATTGGAGTTTTTGATGACGAACCTACTAGCATTATCGCTTATGCGCTGGCCTCCCATGAATATCATCTTCAGATGTCAGATGAACTGGAACAAGAAACGACAGACACTTCACTCCCACAATGTGACTCAAGAAGTGCCTCGTTAACTGAAATGGATGAATGTACTTCTGAACTTCTAAGAAGTGTTGTCTCTACAGAGGACATTATCTTCTCCATGTCTGGAAGCAAGAACCCACTTGTTTCAGATTCACTTGTACCTCGAAAAGTAAGTCACATAAAAGTGAATTTTGGGGATGAAGGTCCTCTAGGACAGGTGAAGTACACTGTGATTTGTTACTATGCCAAACAATTTGATGCTCTGAGGAGATTATGCTGTCCATCAGAGCGTGATTTTGTCAGGTCCCTTAGTCGTTGCAAGAAATGGGGTGCTCAAGGAGGCAAGAGCAATGTATTCTTTGCAAAATCAATGGATGATCGGTTCATAATTAAGCAGGTTACCAAAACTGAATTAGAGTCTTTCATGAAGTTTGCTCCAGACTACTTCAAATATGTATCTGAGTCGATTTGCACTGGAAGTCCTACTTGCATCGCAAAAATTCTTGGTATTTATCAGGTAAGTGTCCTTTTTTTTTTAATTTGCCACCAGTAGTAATTTGTTTGATGTGATTTATTTTGGCTAGAACCCAGTGGGTAGCCACTCCCTTCTCAGGGAACTGTACGCGAGAAGTAGTAGGAATGGCTCATAGTTATCTCATAACTTGAAAAAAAGGAATTTGTCTTGTTTTCTTGTTTAACAGTGCCAAATCAAATAAAAATACCCAAAGAAACCTAGATAGCTGTCAAAGAGACATCTTAGAGTCCTTGCAAAATAAAAATAATGGCATACATTCTTTTAAAAGATGGAGCGACTAGATATCCATAGTTTGCTTGCTTTTGGTTTATTCAGTTATGATGCCATCAGATTGGAAAAGGAATCAAATTGCAGCAGGAAAAAGTAACTGTTGACTGTAGAAGCAAAATATCATCATGAGCTCCCCCTTAAGAAAGACTCTTATTTCAGTGGAATTCGTTTATGTTAGCCATATCTTCAATATTGTATGTACTTTTATTAAATCTTATTTTACAGTATTAGCTAGGCATTAATTTATCCAAGCTGTCCATTGAGTGAGAGTGATCCAACAGCCTGGAAATGAAACTAACTCATGGTTGGATCCAAACTGTTCCAAAAGTAACCCAATAGTCAGCCTTCCAATATTCATAAAGATTGGAAGATCATGTCAATTTTGCATCCAGATATCCTGGCAGCAATGCCATCTTGATTCTGGTCTTTGTGAAGGCAGATTTTTATTTTCAACTTCAGAATCAGTTTTTGTTAGATTGCTAATGCAAAATTATTGCTTTGAAAAGGTTAAGAGCCTCAAAGGAGGTAAGGAGATGAGGATGGATGTTCTAGTGATGGAAAATCTTTTGTTTGAGCGTAATGTGACAACATTGTATGATTTGAAGGGTTCTGCAAGATCAAGATATAACCCAGACTCAAATGGTAGTGATAAAGTACTTCTTGATCAGAACTTAATTGAAGCGATGCCTACATCACCTATTTTTGTCGGAAACAAGGCAAAGAGGTTGCTGGAGAGAGCTGTTTGGAATGACACATCCTTTCTTGCTGTAAGTATAAACCACATGCTTACATATCTGTCTTGTTTTATTCCATTAGATCTTATGGTCAATCCATATGTCTGTTGCTAGTGATCAAAATTTGCTAGCACCATGAGATGCGAGTTCATCTTTGTAGTACAATTGGAAAGGATTGTTTTCTCTAAAAAGAGAACTGTGTACCTGGGACGTGAGTGGCAGTGTGACATTAAATATGCTCTTATGTACAAATGTCAAAAACCCTAGAACTTCTAGGTATTACCCATAGCCAAGCAAACTTATATAAATTATGTATGTTCGCTTGGGCTTGTTTGGCTGATAAGCCATGGCTGAAAGTACTGTTGGCTGATTTGGTGTGAGAGAAAAATATTGTTCATTGGCTGAAAAGGTACGGCTTATAAGCCAAACAAGCCCAAACGAACAGGGTGTATATAATCAATGGCATCCTAGTATTCTTGCCTACCAGTTCTTTGTTATAACCCTCCGAGCATATGCATGTAGTGTTGTCTTCTTGTATCCTTAATGCATTCCTTATAAAGGGTGCATAATGTGTGGTGTGAAACATGAGGTTGGCTCTATTACAGTCTTACTAATAACATGCATGATTGGCGATGTCATGTTGGTGAAAAGAATAATAAGAGAACCAAACATTTTTGGGAATCACTTTATGTCTGATATGTACTTGTGTGTCAGGACTTAACTGATATAGGAACAGACATACTAGGCAAGTTAGTGGAAGTGTTGAACTGTTGGTGCTATCTAGCTCAGGAGATGCACCAATTTATATATGTTTATATTTATATAAAATGTGGCATGTATCATTATTGGTGTTCTTCTCGACTGTGCCAGTTAACATACTCGACCTTCATGTTGGTAACTGTAACTTGATATTGTCTAGACTCTAGACCCAAAATATGTATGTTGTAAATCTATAATCATGATATAAAAATTTGGATCATAAATGATGTAACTATATGATGCAGTGGTGCTTCATTTAGAAACTTACTAATATCATTGCTCTGATAGAATTCCTGTCAGTAAACCAGTGGAACCTATACTGACATAAATATTCGCAACTTTGGTGCAGTCCATCGATGTAATGGATTACTCTTTACTTGTTGGTGTTGATGAGAAAAGGCATGAACTTGTAATGGGAATTATAGATTTCATGAGACAATACACGTGGGACAAACACCTAGAGACATGGGTGAAAGCTTCAGGGATATTAGGTGGACCAAAGAATGTGTCACCAACAGTAATTTCACCAAAGCAGTACAAGAAGCGGTTTAGGAAAGCCATGTCGGCCTACTTTCTTGTCGTTCCAGACCAGTGGTCGCCTCTAGTGATCATCCCCAGCAAGCAAGCTGAGAGTGGTCAGGACAGGGACAGCGACCAGGTTCTCTTGACAGAATTGTGAGATATGCATGCATAACTTTTAGGAATTATTCAGGGAATAACTCCTTTTTTGCGACATCTATAGATTTTGATTTTATTGAAATTTTGTTCATTCTTTTTGGGGTAGATGTATTTATCTGGGTATCCGTACCTTTTTTTTTTTTTTTTTGGAGGATCTATATGTAAAAAGTTTTAGCCCCCGTCTTTGAAAGTTGTAGATAGAAATCAACATGCATATAGGGTTGTACAAGCTGTCATTCGTTTCCATGAGCCCTGGTTCATTGAAATTTTATAGCATGTAGAAATATTAGAACTAGTTTCATACTTATGCACCTAATGTATATCTTTTGTTTCCTCGTTTCCATACATTCTGTATGAAGGTAGACTCTCAAATTCTTTTCTGGGAGTCCACCAAGAAAAATCATGTATGTGGTGCTTTAGCCAAGTGTATGTAAATCCTCTGAAATTGTAAAAAGAAAGTGTTTTTCCATTTCATAACTTCGAATTTTGCTGTTATTTTTTTCACTGTAATTTAGTTGCAAAGAATATTTTTGCTACTGTGTTCTATTTCCTATGAACCTCCCGTGTTGCTGAGGAAAGAAGATGCCCTCAGTTTGTTGGTAACATTCGCATGTTTGCCTTCGCGAAAATGAAGAAAAATAGAACTAAAAAAGATCATGTCTGGTATCTTGAGACTTCGAGAGTTCTCTGTATATTACACTAAGTTGAAGGAAATAGTTGGGTGTGGAAACAGCCCAAGAGGGTTGTGTTGTATTTTATGTTTAGAATATGAATTACACATGGATTAAGTGATACAAATCACTGTTCATTGTGATCTTCAATCAATGAATTAATCACTAGTATCTACCATATCCTTATACATTGCTAGATATGCTATAGTTGCCGTGTTTAACATCCCCCTCAATGCACTAGGTCGAGGTTGTCATGCAACTTCTTTATCATCACCAACATAGTAGTTGGCTTAGAGTTCATTTGGATGCACTCGTATCTACCTCAATATACATGTGTTGGAATGAATTAGGATGGAAATTAAGGTAATTTTTACCTTAATCCACTCCAACACACAGCCTGAAGTAGGGAGTTGGATAGCCTATCTAGGTATGGGTAGCTAAACTGATAAGATGACGGACTCAACAAGCGGATTTCCCCCTCTGATCAAGAAAGTTATAACCTCCTCATGTCTCTCTGTATGTGTCTACTCGGCCTCGAAGCTGTCAGCCTGCATGCTTCCACTGCATCTGGATGTGCTCGGTCTGCATAGCTGCCATCTGATGTTGTAGCTCAACAAATGACTCTTTAGTAGCAGTGGGCTGGCTAATGGAAACTGCCTCTCTGGCAATCCCTTAGCCACCCAGCCTCCTCGTCGTCGCGAAACTAGGTGAGCGTGACGGAGGAAGTGTGTAATCCTCGTCATGAAGCAACGGACTCATTTCGTGGAACGGCACAGCAACGGACTCTGACACCAGTATTGGACGGGGAACAATTCATGTCGTGGGGATGGACATGAAGCAGTAGTTGGCCCAGTGTTATTACACCCTAAATTTTGAATTTTTCAAGTCCTCTAAAATTTGTTAGAATTAAATTACCTTTATTGCCAAATTTAAAGGAGAAAAATGGTTTATAAATTAAATCAACCATGACATATATAGGTTACAAAAGTTTTGTTATCTTCATGCTGCTTGCATATTTTGTTTGTGTGGAAAATGACTTTAAACTTGAGTAGATCGAAAAAAGTTTTCATTTTGATTTTGGAAACGTATTTACAAAAATTGAAAAGGTTTAAAACCTGCTTGGTCTGTTCTGAGTTTTTTTTTTGTTTTTTGATTGAGGGGAGGGTCTGTTCTGAGCTGAAACTAACCTTGTCCGGCCCCGGACCACAAACCTTTTTCCTCTTTCTCAATTCAGTCCGAAACTTATGATGGCCTGATTTTGAGCCGGGCAAGCATGTTTTTTCTCGGAAAAAGTCCATATTGCCTCCCTCAACTTTCACTAAAGTCCGTTTTTTCTCCCTGAACTTCAAAACCGGGTAAAACACCTCCCTCAACTTTTGAAACTGTTTATCTTACCTCCCTGGCCCTGTTATAAGCAGTTTTGAAGACGGTTTTGTCTTTTATCTTTTTTATTTATTTTGGCTGAACTTTTAAAAAATTATAGTAAATCATAGAAAAATCATAAAATAGAAAATCCAATTTTGTTGGACTCCACATGAGTACATCTACACAGTGAATATATAATATGGTATGCTTTAGTACAAATGTTTTGTTGTGGCTTTAGATCTTTGTTTTTTTGTAATTAAATGTATAATTCATAGCTGCAGTTCTACGGTAATTGTGATGAAATTTTTATGGTGGACTAATTATTGTATTATTGAATTGTAGTAAAAAATTCATACTCATTGGATTATGTATAGCTTAGTTATAGATTTATTTATATTTAACAAGCATAAACCTAAATAAAATCTATAACTAAGTTATACATAATCCAATGAGTATAAAATTTTTACTACAGTTTAAGCGTACAATAATTAGCCCACCATAAAAATTTCACCACAATTGTACCATAGAAACTGCAGTTATGAATTATTTTATTTAATTATAGAAAAACATAGATCTAAAGTTACAACAAAAACTTTATACTAAAGCATACCATATTATATGTTCACTGTGTAGATCTAATCATGTGGAGTCCAACAAAATTAGATTTTCTATTTTATGATTTTTCTGTGATTTACTATGATTTTTTAAAGATTCAGCCGAAATAAATAAAAAAGAAAAGACAAAACCGTCTTCAAAACCGCTTATAACCGGGCCAGGGAGTTAAGATGAACGGTTTTAAAAGTTGAGGAAGGTGTTTTTGTCCGGTTTTAGAATTCAGGGAGGAAAAACGGACTTTCGCAAAAGTTGAATGAGATAATATGGACTTTTTCCTTCTTACTCTCAACATGCCCTATCTCTTTCTTCTTGGGCTCAATCTGTTTATGCACGGCAAGCCAGCCCGCCAACTCAATCACACATCATGAATTCATGATCGTCTTCCACCTCCAGCTGGCCCTCCTCAATTTCCCGGTTTCCACCATGGCAGAGCCGGCCTAGCTCAATTGCTCCATGGCTGTTCCTTTTCGCGTCCTTAATTCCTGCCATCAAGCCCCTGAGTAACCTCGCCTTCATTCCCCTCCATCAGTCGGTTGTTTCTCAATTCCACCTAATTTAACTCAAGCCACCATTGATAGATGGCTTGAAACCTAGGTCCACATCAATTGTTCCTCTTCCTCTCTACCCTATATATATAGGTAGGCCTGAGGCGCCACATGCACGCACCATCATCATCAGACTACTCCATTACTGCTTGTCACACACGATTTTAAGAATAAAACAAAATGCAAATCACACGCATGAAGAATCAATTTATTCATACAAGTGATGATTTCATTAATTAATAGTACATAGCAATGCTATAGCATAAATAATAAAGGTACAAATTAAAAGAACACATAGGTCTAAAAGAAATACATAGACTTATTTTATTTTTCTTTAGTGGAACGAGACTCCATCTCAGGCAGGGAGTGGTACACGTACTAGTCACTAGACAAGCTATTTTAACTTTGATCAAATTTAATTTATAGAAAAAAAGTCAATATTTATGACACCAAATTAGTATAATATAAAAATATAATATATTTATGATACTAATTTTGTCGTCGTAAATATTGTTACTATTTGTTATAAATTAAGTTGGTCAAACTTAAGATAGTTTGACTTATGATGATTATAGTTTTTATAGGAATTGATTTATTGTTTTGGGACAGAGAGGGAGCAGTAATCATATGCTTTGGGTTGTCATTAGCGATGCCTGTCCTACCTTGCTTTTAAGATGGTATGCAACAGTTCGTTACTGCTCTGGTTGTATGGCTTTATGATAACCGTTATTGCAGAACCTTGTTGCATGCTTTTGTTGGTACACTTAGATGTTGTACTGAAGATAGCTAGGGAAGGCATCCTTTTTAGCAGCCTCCATGGCGAACGAAAGCATGCTCGATAACCGGCTGGTAACTGCGATGCATGATGCTTGCACGACGAGCTCTGTGATGCTTACCGGCCTGTACAAGTCACACCCGGATTCCGTAGAAGATAGTAGGCTAGCTAGTAGCTGGCTGTCTAACAACCTTTTTGACCCTTGCAGCAGTAGGAGCGCTTTGCTTGCAAACGCAGCATGAATAGATATAGATATAGATAGATGTATATAAACAATGGGTAGTATATGGAGTATGCATGGAAGGAGCTAACTTGGCCGGCAGGACGACACGGGCGCTGTGGCGGGGGAGTACGGCGTGATGGGCGGCGGCTGGGCCTGGGCCTGCTGGTGCCTGGTGCCTGGTGCCGTGCTGGGGGGCTCTTCTCTCGCGCTCGCTGGATGCGCTCCGCATGCCAACCAACGAGGGCGCTTTGCATGATGACCGGCCGGAACCTCAACCGCACGCGCGTGACCGGACCCAACAGCTTCATTAGCGCATGCATCAGCGATGGACCAGGTTTTTACCTGTATGCGTAGCAAAAAAAAAATTTCTTATGCAATTTGGTAAACCATATATAATTTGGTAAAACCATATTCTAAAATCATATAAATTGTTCAAATGAAATACAAAATACTTTAAAATATAGCCATATAAGAGACTTACAATATTACTTGTTGATCCGTTGCTTTCTCAATGACATGAATATCTCAATTATATCATCTTTATCAACTTGAAAGAAAATATCCCACTCAATAAATGTTTGTAAACAATCATTCAGAACAATATCACCTAGCTTATTCCTTGATTTTGTTTTCACTATAACCAATGCAGAAAATACCCTTTCAACGATCGCAGTTGCCACCGATAAAAGCAATACCAATTTGAGAAGCGAGTACACCATATCATACACTTTGTGCCTATTTATATCAACAAGCTTAACTGAGAGATCAACAATGTTGTCTAGACCTTGGAAGCATTCAGTTCGTTTC